TTTAATAAATTTAAAATATAATTTATGTTGACTTAAATTGTACCTTCGATTTTCTCAAATTCTTTTTTGATTTTCCATGGTTGTAGGCTTTGAAAGTTTGTTGTTGTGTTGTGGGTTTTTTTTCCACTCTTGTCTGTTATTTCTTTCTTGAACATGGACTAATACTGCCACTGATACACAGTAAATGTTAGTTGGGCATCCTAGGAATGTATAGCCAGATTTATGGTATGGCAGGCTTGTTATCTGATATAAGAGTTATCGCCGCCTTCTCACTTTCATCTTCCCTCAACAGATTTCTTCAAATCCTGTAGGGTAAAATGGCTATGTTAGATTCTTCAAACTTCCTTGTTCTCGAAATTAGTCTTCATCTTAAATGCCAATAAAGAATCTGATGAAATTAGAAATCAGATGTACTAGGTTTAGTCTGGAGTTTCACATGTTCAAAATTTAAGTAATGTATTGTAATACATACATTTCCTAAGACTATGTTTCTTTATAGGCCCATATCTCAATCAGTATACGAGATGGGTGGTGCCCTAGGAATGAAAGTTTAAATGTTTGGAGAGGAGTTGATAAAGGACAAAAGGAAGAGGGGGAAAAAAAATGGTTGGGAAGAGTGAGGGTGGAAAAGAAAATGAAACAATCTGTTGCATTTTTACCTCTACCATAGTCTTATAATACAAATCTGCCTGACCCAGACATTTAGATGACACTGTATTAAGCAACACAGGAAAAGAGGAAAAAGCTAGTAATGGAATATTTTACAGACTTTGAACTCCGTTTCATTTTTTTTTTTTTTCTTGTGCTGTTTGGTGCCGCAGATTACAAGTCTTTCTGTGCTTGTCTGAACTGGACTGTCTTAATGTAAACATTTTTGGGTTGTATTTTTAAAGTTTTAAGTGAACATCAAACATTAGTTTTCCTTTTAAAAAATAATTTTAAAAAATAATCTACTCTGTTCTGGAATTGAGCTCTGTAAGTGCTGCACTTCTGTTCAATAATATTAAAAGTTCATGGGTTTCCAGAAAATTTAATGTTCGAAAACTTAAAGGGTAGATTTTTGATGTGGAGGAGAAGCTCGCGTGTATCAGTCTTACTGAGAAAAATTCAAGAGTCCTGTGCTGAATAAAGCAGACTGAGCACGATGCTTCGCCCTGATAACCTTGTTTCAAACTGTGTCTGCCAGGATGACAGAGATAAGCCCCTGTCTGAACTTCAGCAGCTTCGTTTGAGTCTGACAAATTATGGCAAAATGGCACTAAAGATGGATTTACAACAGTAAATTTGACCATGAACTGGACTGGCTGAGGAGTAGACACCTATTTGACCATGCCAAATCATTCCAACAGCAATATGTATGTAACTGACTCGATGGGGAAATACTTATATAGGACAGTTACATGCAGGGTTATACATTTTGACTGAATTACTAAAATACAAAATTAAGTAGCAAACATTTTTTTTTTTTTACTTTATTATCAAGAATAAACATTGGTTAAAAAAAAGACATTTAAAAATTAATTTCACATAGGTTAAAGCTTGCTTTGCTTTTTTTGTTTCATATTTTGAGCCTCATTCAGCTGACA